CCCATTGAACTTCAAGAATATCATCTCTAAAGTTAATTTTTCTTATTGAACAAACAATTTCATTAATAAACTCATCAAATAATTTTTCTTTTCCTGGACAATAATTAAATGTTTTCATTTTCATTAAATGAAGAATTGCCTTTCTTTCTTGTGACATTTGGTTAATACTTTCTTCATTTGGAAATATACCAATTACATATGCAAAAACATTTTCTTTATTACAAAATCTTCTTGCTTCTGATAACCAATTATATACATGTCTAAATGACATATCATCATCATTTCTATATACTAAGAATATTCCATGTGCTCCACTAAATGGAAAATATGAAGTGGCTCGATTAATATTATTGTCATATAATGTCATACTAATTCTTCCATCAAACCCATCAATTCTAACATCTTTCATAGTTGTTCCAAGTTCTTTAACAACTTGGCTTTGGTGGTTATGATAATATCCCCATAACAATTTTTTTCTATCATCTAATGTACATGGATCTCCAACAAAGACAATTTTAATAGTATATAAAACGTCTTTTTCAGAAAGAGGTGTCTTTAATACTTGAATTCCTGGTGTCATATCACGTTCTTGAATTAAGCGAAATGTTTTACTCTTCTTTTTGTCTTTCTTTTTATCATCTTTTTTCTTATCATTCTCTTTTTTATCTTTCTTTAATACATTCATATTTTATTTCTTTTGAATTACAAGTTCTTAGAATTTCTCTATTGTTATTTTATAAAATACAAATGTTTTTAAATTTATGATTTTGATGTAAGTTTTTGAGATTTGAGTTTATTATAAAAAGTGGTTATTTAAGTATTACTGGATTTATTCTTTTAATCACCAGAGATTAATCACACAATTATACTTTATGAATATTTACTCATCCACTATTTACCTATAATTATATTTTCATCATATTGAGAAATGAGTATTTTATTTTTTCATAGTTTTTATTTTTATAGAAATTAAGTTTTTTCAAACATCATTAACTTATTATTTATTCGTCTTTTATCTTGTTATTTCTTGTTATTAGTTGTTATTTTCTTCATTCTTTCTTTTCTTATTTATGTTGAATATATCATTGCTTTATTCTTTCTGTTGTTTTGTTTTTATCTTCTTACATTCTTTGTTTCTTTATTATGTTTGTTGTATTATCAAATATTTGTGTCATAACAACTCATTCATAATTCTTTCTTTATAATTTACTCACACTTTATTCTCTTAAATGATATTCCATTTTCATTAATAAACATTGTCATTCAAACGGGTACGAAAATTAGCAAAGAAAAAATGAATCTAAATAATTTAAAATAATAAGTAACTCATTAAGTGTTAATAGAAATAGTTTCTATTCTCCATTATGCAGTTGAAACAATTCTCATTCATTTCATCTTCTTCATCTATCAACTCTACGGAGTATGTTTGGTTGTGATCTCCGCAGTATTCCATGACATCCATCATGTTTTTTATTACAAGGTTTTTTACTTCTTTCTCGATGTCAATATCAATTTTTAATTCTTTAATTAATCTATTACTTTCTTTATTTACTAATCCATTTATTGAGATTACTACTGGAATTATTCTGACATCTTTTAATTTTTCTATTTTCATTAGCCTATTCTTTAATTCTTTATACATATTTCTTTTCTTCAAATACACTCAATTAATATTGTGATCAGCCACAATAGTCATTTCAAATAATAGACCAGTTTTGTTCTTTTTATCTACTACATATATATCTGATATTTTGTGGTATTGTCATTCACTTTTAGGAATTATTTGTTTGTTTAATATCATTGTGATGTCTTTATATTTGAACACTGTTTCATATGGAGGTTTTTTATATTGATTATTTCCTGTATATTTTCTTATTAATCCCTCCCATATTATAATGCCAATATTGTCATGTTTCTCCATTTGTGATTTTTTATGACCAATACAAGATAGTAGAATGTGTTCTACTGTAGCTATCTTGTCTTTACATAGTGGGCAGTATTTTAATCTTTCATTTTTCATTATTTTTGCTTTTTTATACCCACAAAATATTGCTCCATCCTGCATTTTAGTTAATTGGAGGAATGCATTTTTTTTAATATTGATGGACTTCCATGCTTTCACTGTAGTAGTTTTATCTACTCCTTTTGACTCGAACTATCTTCTGAAATATCCACTTATTTGATGACACTTCCATTTTTTGATGTATTGGTCGGTCAATAATTTTTTTATTTCTACCACTACTTCTTTTTCTTTTTTCTTTTCTATCCCTTCATTTATTATTTCTTCTATCTTTGTTTCTGGGATTTTATGACCTAGGGCTTTTTTAATTCTATTCCACATTCCCTTCTTACTGTACCATCTATCTAATATGTTATTTCCTATTTCACTCTGGTACAATAGTACATCACTGTTCTTACTAATTCATTAACATATTCGTCCCTTATATTTATTAATCCTTCACCCATTTCTTCTATAATGACATACAACCGATCTTTGGAGTTTCACCATTGTATTTTGCCTTTCTTAAATATTTTCTTATCTCCAAATCAATTTTATCTAGGTCAGTTATTTTCCAATTTACAACTGATGCTGAATATCTGAAGATATTGATTACTTCAGTGTTTATTCTAGTAATATATCTTCTATTACTACTTTCATCAGTGTTTATTTCTTCCATCTTTTGATTCATTTTTTCTTTGATGGATTTACAATTGAAAGTGTCATCAATTTCATCGGACTGCCATATTCCTAAGTATTTATACAAGTCCTCACCTTCAATTACTGGGATGTTTTGCATTCCATCTGGTATTTCCTTAATGTTTTTTAATACCAATCCTGACTTTTTCTCATTCATTTCCATCAATATGTAACTTATTATTTCTTTAATTTCATTGTGGATTATTCCCATTTCTTCACTATTTTCTGTCATTATTCTCAAATCATCCATATATAATGTGTGATTTGTTTTTGGGAATTTCTCTTCGATGATTTGAGAAATTACATTCATCTGAATGATGAAGAGTAGAGGGGATAAGGAATCACCTTGTAAAATTCCTCTATTTAATTTAATACATCATAGATATTCATTAAATTTATAACCGATGAATATCTTCCATCTAGTCATCATACTTTCAATAATGTTTATGATGACACCCTCTACATTAAAATATTTTAATGATTCAATTACCCATTCGTGGTTTACTGTGTCATATGCTTTCTTAATGTCATAATATGACTCCACATATTTTGGGTATTTCTCTTCTTTCTGCTGCTTTAACATATAACTATTAATTATTCATTCTTTAGCAGCTAAAGATTGTAACTTACATCCCAGTTGATTATTACTGATTTTCAATGATTCACAATTCATGTTAAGTCTTCTGTGAATCTTTTCTTTTAATATGGAGGTAAATACTTTCATAATTACATTTGTACAACTGATAGGACGATAATTAGTGACATCGTTCCTATCACCTCCTTTGTGGATTAATAAAGTTCTTCCACTTACCATGTCTAATGGGATGTTTTCGGGGAAGTTTAACCATTCATTAAAGATACTAAGAATGGCTTCTCTTGATGATGACATCCTTTTCCAATAATACCCATATATAGTGTTTATTCCTGATGCTTTCCAGTTACTTATTCTCATTATACTTAAATTTATTTCATTTATTGTTATTATGACATTATCATAATTGATATATCTTTCATTCCACGAGGTGATTTGTTTTATTTTCCAATTCTCTTTATTTAATATCACCTGTGTTTCATATAACGATTTCCAATATTCTAAAGTAATATCGTTATTTGGGTATATTTCATTTTTTGGGTCTTTCTTCCTTATTCTAATTTTCTTGTTAGAATCAAACATGATTTTATTTGTATTGATTCTGACCCTTTCTTCCTTATTAAATTTAATTCTTTCTTTGATCATTGTCATTATATATTTTAGGTATTTTATTCTTTCTAGTGCTTTGACTTTTATTCCTTCTTCATCATGTTCTTTTAATTTCATGATGCACTTGATTCTGTACAATTTCATTGACTAGATCTTCTAGTCTATTAATTTTCTTTAGGATTTCTTTTAATTCATCAAATTTATCTCCTATTATTTTATTTTGGAGATAGAGGTGCATAACCATTGAAATCCTCTTCATATCATCTTGCAGTTCCTGCATTCTGCTTCCTGACCATATCCATCTATTATTATTTTCCATTATTAATCGGTCAGCTTCTTTTCTTTGAAAGTAGTAATTAATGTTTGAACATTTTTCTACTTTCATTTCTTTTATATTATTGATGAGAGTGTTAAGATATTCTTCATCAATTTCTGTAGAGTTATTTTTTATTATGATTTTTTATTATTGAATCACACTCTACTCTTCCTTCTATTATATCATTTACTTTCACTTTTAATGTACCGTTTAATGCTTTCTTTTATTTTATGTGACATTTTAATATATTTAATATATTCTTTTTCATTATTGACATTGATGTTTATTGCTTTTATTATACTTTCAATTTGTTCCCATCTTAATTTCTTATATAATTTCTTATTCAACCAATTAATTGCAAAACAATACATCACTTCAATTAAAATTTGATTTCTCCTTCTGTTGTATTTCTTGTCTGATTATCATCTCTTGTTTTTTGACAATCAGTGCTTTGCTTTTCTCTTCGATTTCCACTACTGTCTTTTTCATAGGAGTAGTTTCGTTCATCTCCATTGTTCCTGATGATGTTTTCCTCATTACTGGTTGTGTATTTATCA